AGCATCTGGTTGCAGAACATGCACTGGTTGTAGAACGTCACCACGTTTGAAATGGTCTTATCACCGACGGTACAAGCACATTCACAAGAAAGCGGTTAGCTAGGATTCTGCATGGTAAAGAACATTAACCAAGCGTTTCAAAGCGGTTGAAAAGGGTATACAGCGATAAAGAAAAATTTTGCCCCCAGTACCACTCCGTCAGCTGGTGCGGCTTTGCCCGCAGGTTTCAGCCATACGGTTTATGGCACCTGACCGTACTGTAGCAGCGAATCGCGCAAGGTGAGAGGGTCGAGAAACAGGGTGTAATACAGCCACCTTTCCCGTCCCGTCGCACTGTAGAATACGTAACGCATATAGTACAGTGCGCATTGCAAAGCAGTCGAACAGAAAGTCTGAAACTTCTGTTCGCTGTTGTCATTCAATTGGAATGGATGTCGGTCATGCAAATTGGCTGGCGGTCAGGCAAATTGGCTGGCACCACCTGTGAAATGAAACGACTGTTTCTTGTTTCTTGTCATTGGAAATTTGGGACCAGCTGCGGCGCGATTCGGGGAAACGATCGCAAGCGCCAATGGAAACGAGACATCGAACCTTGGGGATTTTCGGCACAGACAAGCACGTGCCTGTGTTGAGCAGAGGGACAATCTAGTGAAATCAACCTCAGGTGCCGGTCAACAGTTGCTGCCTCAAAAAGGAGCGGCTTGACTTGGGACTAATACACTCTGACAAAGTAAATATCAATCAAGCCCCAGTATGATATAAACTGTAAAAAATCTTGATTGAAAGTGAGCCTTATATTGCCCAGCAAATCTGCTGCAACGCAGCAGAAAACAAAACAGGAAACTCTTGAATCCTCGCACTCCTGCCCTTTGTCACATCACGCACAAACACCCTTTTACCCCTTAGCCCCTCCTATATCTGATTGCCAGTAACCATGATCAGGCTCTCAGAAGTCAGCGAAAAAAAGCTGATTAGGGGTAAAAAGCCTGTGATTTCAGCTGTTTGGGGGGACGTTGGCCTGTTGTGGCAGATTTTTTTAGTGTGTTTAAGCTGTAACTTCAGTTTTTTAAAAACTGTCTCTGTTGAAATATCAGCTTTTTTCCATGTGTGTGCGCTGTCTCATCAGACTTGTATCGGAGGGCTGGTCTGAAATCCCCGTAATGGAGATCGGGTTTAGGCCCGGAATTCCGGATATCTATAGATGCAGCTGTTTGTGTATCCCTCCGTCAATCACACCCAAATTGCAAAATTCCTTGCCAACGCATTCGGGAATGGCATCAGCAGTACCAAACAAGGCATTCCACCCACTGCTGTCAGGTCGCTAAGGTATCTTCGCCCGTGATTGGATGTTAGTTCAACCACATCAACTACTGGCGAATGGAATGTAAACAGCGCGGCACCACGCACGCACGTTACAGCGGTACAGCTCCACAAATTGGTTGTCGCGCGACTAGGAAACCCCCCCACCTTACCCACCCCGAAGCTGCAACCAGGTACGTGCATGATTCCATGGGTCGAGTCGCCTTGCATCATGGCACGGTAAGCTTGCCAACAAATCCCTCTTCACCGTCACTAGCTCCTTCTTGCATAACCCTAGGTAGCTGCTGGAGTCTCCCGTCTCTCACCCATCCTCGCTAGGGTTTCACTTCTTTCGCCTCTAGCACCAGGCATTTCTCGACACGTTCTCTCAGTGCTCGGCACGCTCTCTGAGTGCTCGGCTCGCTCTCATATCTGTTCCGCCATGGTTGGCCATGGCGCCGGCCTTTCAGACGACGAGGGTGACGCCGATGTAGACGACGCAGATAGCATCGCCATAGAAGAAGCCCCTACTGGGCTAGATCTTCTGCTAAGATCTTTAGGCCGCCAACTACCACCTCCAGCGCCCACTGCACCCGGTCCGGTTCCTACAGTGGCGGGTAACCCGAACGTGCCTTATAGCCCGGATTCCATCTGGTCCGTCCCTCCCGCACCGCCCGGTGTTTCCAACACCGTTCACGTCGGCACATCGGCGTCGAAGTCGTCAGCACCGCGTACAATCAAGCTCAAGCAACAAAAACGGAGTTTTTGGAAGCCATCATCCAGTGTCCCCGTATCTGAAGCTGTCGTCAACGAAACCACCGTGCGCCCGTCTCTGGACATCAACGTTCAGGAGATTGTTGAAGCGATTTATGCCGAGGCATTGGATAAGTACAAAACTAAGTGGCTTGAGCATTTCCCATGGCTTGTACGTACCAAAACTGTTTGTGGTCTGCCTGCTTTCAAATGCAGTCTCTGCACTGAGCACGCCGGTGTTAGGGGACGTTGTGGCAGGACAGGCAAAGGTGCTACCGACGTCCAGACGCAGGCCTTTCGCAAGCACGCCGGGACGAGAAAACACAAGCTGGCACTGGAGAAGCAAGAGGCCCTGCTTGCTGCCGCGTCTAAACAGCCCCGCATCGACGATCATCGTACAATGGTCGATGCAGAAAAGATCCGGGTCACGTCACTGCTTGAGGCGCTTCTGTTCATCAGCGACAGCGACGCACCCATGGGGACATGGGTGAAGCTGGTGCAGTATCTTGCCCGGAAAGGGGTTCAAGGTTTCCCTAAGAAAGGCTATGGGACTTCTTATACAACGTGAGTGGTAATAACCTTTGTTGTTTACGTTGTTTTACAGACGCGGAGTCACTAATGATGTATGCCTTGTATTCTGGCAGGTACGGCTACGACGAACTAACGCAGTCTCTGGCAACCTGGCTACAGACGACCCAGCTGGAGCATATCCTCACAAGCCCCTTCATCGGCATCGCCATCGACGAAAGCACCGACGAAGTACCTTATTCTTTACGCCACCTTCGTTCGGGATTCCGTCGTGGTGACAGAGTTCATGCAGCTGATCACCGTTGAGAAAGCTGACGCCTCGACCCTCTTGAGCCTTCTGTTGTCTCACCTGCAGGCCGTGGTTGTTGACCTGCAAAGGATTTCGGGCATCAGCACCGACGGAGCGTCGGTGATGATGGGAAGTAATGCCGGACTGGTGGTTCGCCTGCGACAGCGGATTCCCCACCTCGTCTTGTGTCACTGCATCGCCCACAGGTTAGTGCTGCTTTGAATTCACAGCGTTCATTGGTTTTTTTCTTGCTCGGTGTACTGATTTTTCTTATTACGTTTAATGCAGGGAAGCCCTTGTCGCTAAGGATGCGGCCGAAGATCTACCAGTCTTCAACATGGTAGACGATCTAATCCGTGTGGTGTCGGACCTGCTGGGCCGTTCCAGCCCGAAACACCAGCCCTTCAAGGACCTCCAGGAGCTCTTCACCGAGACCAGCGTGGAGGTCCGGGGGATACATAGCGTCCGGTGGCTCTCTCGGGGGGATGCGTTGCTTCGCATCCTGGCAGTGTGGCCTGCTGTCATCGTATTCCTGCAGGAGTTTCATTCCGCGTTGTTTTTGCTCGCCACTTCCTACCGTTTCCACTTCCTCATGTATTTTCTTGCTGATGTTCTTGAGCAGTTGAACATTCTGAACAGGGCATTCCAGCAGCGCCAGGTATGTTTGAGTGTGTATTTCCATGCCTTCACTTTATTACTTGTTGGTACACGCGGCTGACAGTCTTCCCTTTCTGACCGATGCCTGCAGCTAGACCTTGTCTCGCTGCACAGTCAGATTAAGCGCACGACAACACATATCGAGAGCCGATATGTGGATTGTGGGGACGACTTTGGCGGAGGCTTCACCCGCTGGCTGTCGCCCTTCATCGAGTGTTATGGCCCCGGAAAGGACCGTGAAGTGACAGTGGAGGGGCCCGACTCCGATGGGCGACCAACAACATTCAAGTTCACGCTCCACGAGGACAAGGTCAAAGGCTACGAAGGCCCGTGTGATCACGACGGCTGTGTTGAGGCCTGCACCGACTTCGCTGAACGCATCGTGGCGAACCTGGAGAGTCGGCTGAGTGACTTGGACTCGTTGTCGGAAGTCCGACTCTTCCTGCCGGATGAGTGGCCGAAGAGCAAGTTGGAGCGTCACGCACGATGCGTTGAGTGGCTGCAGTCGCTGGTGACGCTATTCAAGGCAGAGCAGGCAGAAGACATACTGCCAGGTGGAGTCGTGTTTTATGTTTGTTTCAATGCCATCGTATTGTTTCTCTTTACTGCCAATACACCTCCTTCTCGTTTGCTTAAGTCATCACTAAGCCCCGTCTTGCATTGTTTCCTCCCCCTCCACTTGTTGCCATGCCAGGTATCAAGAAGCGGCAGGCCCACAAAGAGCTGCGACTGTTCTGCTCCGTCCGTGCCTCTGCACCCAAGGGGGAGAGATCTTTCCACGATGGCCTTTCCGCGATTCTGAAGACTCCTGACTGGCGGGAGAGTTACCCCAACCTGGTGCTGTTGTGGGTAGCAATGGCGGTGATTCCCCTTAGCACTGTGGAGTGCGAAAGGGGCTTCTCTCGCCAAAATGTGATCAAGTCTTGGCAGCGGAGCAACCTCAAAGATGTACAGCTAGGAGATTGATGTGCATGTCTTTGATGCCGTACGAGCCACGGTTCGACGAGGTGGTCGATATTTGGAGAAGCTACAAGAAGAGAAAGCCATTCTCTAATGCCCCTATTTCCACCCCAGGGGAAACCAGCAAGAAGGGTAGAGCGACAGCTATGGAAGTAGATGAACCCCATGCTGTAGAAGATGTAGGGTCTAGTGATAGTGAGGATGAAGAAGATGACGAGGATGATGATGATCTTGTTAGTATTACTTGATGAGTGGTTCAAACTTGACCGCAAAACGACACTTATCGTTCAGCTTTTTTTCTCCTAGACAACCTGGAAAATCAGTTTTTTTTTTACCAACTCCACTGACCTCTCAGCCATGAAGTCTTTCTAAGGTTGACCAGTCAGCCTACGTCAAAACGAATCTGAGGCCCTGACCATGATGCTCCTGATCTGCTTCAACCCCCTCCCTCCCCTCTTCCCCCTAAACCTCAACCTCTCCTACTGACAACAACAGGCTCAACAAACACCAGGACTCAACCTCCCTCTTCAGCCCCATCACCTTCCTCTTCGCCCTCTTCCCCCTCATTCTCCTCCTCCCCTTCTTCCTCCTCTTCCTCCTCATCCTCCTCAAGGTCAAGAACCAGCACTCTCCGCTGAGCCCCAAACACCGCAGCCAAGCCACGAGCAGCTGCGGGGGTGGGGGGGTGGGGGGGGGGGGGGGATGGTTGGGAACAGAGGAGAAAATGGGATGGGGCAGCAACAAGAACACATATAAGTCAGCTCAAAGCTCTTCCTCTTCCCTCCCAATATTCATCAAGGTAAGGTACCAGCACTCTCCGCTGAGCCCCAAACACCGCAGCCAAGCCACGAGCAGCTGCGAAGGGGAAAGGTAGGGGAACCGGATTGTGGCAACAACGAGAACACACTTTTGAGTCGACTCAGGGCGTGTTACCGTCCGGACGATTGTGTGGTTATGGAACTCGTTAAATCTCAATAGTGAGTTCGTCAGGGTCTAAACGACATCGCATTCGTCGTACTGCCTCCTTACAACATCGCATTGGTCGCAACACGACCCTGCGACGTCGCATTATTCGCACGCGTCCGGACAGCCGTTCGGACTTTCAGCGACTTCAAAAAATGTAACACGCCCTAAAATCTCTCCCTCCTGGTCCGTCCTCATCCTCCTCAAGTCCCGGAACCAACACTCGCCACTGAACCCTGAACAGAGACTTTTGAGTCGGCTGAAAAGTCCTCCTCAAGGTCCAGTCCAGAACCAAGACTCTCCGCTTAGCCCTGAACAGCGCAGCTGATGCAGTTGCGAAGAAGAGGCAGCGGGGGAGCAGGGTGGGGCAGCAATGAGAACAACGTATGAGTTAGTAGAAAGCAATAGGAGGATGAGTTGGAGAAAAATTGGGAAGAGAGGAGAGGGAGGAGCATGAGGACCGCAAACGAGGGACAAAATGACTCTTCAAGGGAGAGCGTAAGTGGAAGGGGTCAGGCGCGTGAGAAACATGCACTAGGCAAGACATTTGGATCGGCAACATGTGGAAGCAGGTGATATGCTTACAGCTGGCAGCGAGCGACTTTTGAGACGTGTCAGAAGTGGAAGGGGTCAGGGGCACAAGGCGGGTGATTTGGTTTGGCAACATGTGGAAGCAGGTGATATGCTTACAGCTGGCAGCGAGCGACTTTTGAGACGTGTCAGAAGTGGAAGGGGTCAGGGGCACAAGGCGGGTGATTTGGTTTGGCAACATGTGGAAGCAGGTGATATGCTTACAACTGGCAGCAAGCGGGGCAAGGGGGCGGGCAAAGGTGAGAGGGCGTTCCCTAAGGCCCTCGGAGGGGAACGGCTGAGAAGGTGGTAGATGCTGCACAAGCGGGGGGGGGAGAGAGGGAATGGGAAAGGGGAAGAGACGGGGGCGGGGGGGGGGGAAGGTGAGAGGTCGTTCCCTAAGGCCCTCCAAAGGGAGCGGATGGGAGGGCGGTGGGTTTTAGAGAGGGGATTGGAGAGGGGAGGAGGGGGTTGGGAAAGGGGTGAAGCGGAATGAGAGAGGGTGTTGAGAGTCTCATCCAGTTTTACGCTGTTGGAGGATGCAAAGAGAAGGAAAGAAAATGATGACAGTGCGAGAAGCCTTTTTAGGATCTGGCGAAGGAAAGCAAGAAAGTCATGATGATGTGTGGAAGAACCTGTGTTGTGACTCATGCTTACGTGTTAAAGAAAGGAAAGTCGGATCAGATGCAGCAGCACTAGTACATACATACTTGACACAGGTACCCACGCATGCGCGCGCACATGCATACACACATGCATGCAGACATGCATACACACATGCATACACACACTCGCACTCACGTGTATGTGCACGCACGCAACACAAGAAAACAAGCAAACAAGCAAACACAAGCAAGCACCTGCAGGAGGGTGTCTCCTTGGCCCAGCTGAATTCCTGTGAACGCCAGACCCTCTACTGGACACACCACCAGCCTCCCCTGCTGCTGCTGCTGCTGGAACTCACACTCACGTGCATGCACACAGACACGCACAGCCACCTATACACACAAGCACAAGCAAACACAAGCACGCACACATCTGTACCTGCAGGAGGGTGTCTCCTTGGCCCAGCTGAATTCCTGTGAGCGCCAGACCCTCCACTGGACACACCACCAGCCTCCCCTGCTGCTGCTGCTGCTGCTGCTGCTGCTGCTGGAACTCACACTCACGTGCATGCACACAGACCCGCACAGCCACCTATACACACAAGCACAAGCAAACACAAGCACGCACACATCTGTACCTGCAGGAGGGTGTCTCCTTGGCCCAGCTGAATTCCTGTGAACGCCAGACCCTCTACTGGACACACAACCAGCCTCCCCTGCTGCTGTTGCTGCTGCTGCTGCTGCTGCTGGAACTCACACTCACGTGCATGCACACAGACACGCACAGCCACCTATACACACAAGCACAAGCAAACACAAGCACGCACACATCTGTACCTGCAGGAGGGTGTCTCCTTGGCCCAGCTGAATTCCTGTGAACGCCAGACCCTCTACTGGACACACCACCAGCCTCCCCTGCTGCTGCTGCTGCTGCTGCTGCTCCCCGGCTTGCTGCCACGCTGCCCCTGCTGCTGCGCTGCCTGCTTTAGTGGCAGCGGCAGCAGTGAGCAGCAGTGCGATGTGGTGGTCCTGTGGTTTAGGGGCAGAAGGAGCAGCAGGAGCAGCAGTGAGCAGTGGTGAGCAGCAGTGAGCAGCAGTGCAATGCGGTATCCCTGTGGGAGCAGGCAGGCAGACATACATGCATGCATGCATGGGTCTATGGTACCTTGTACAGTGCAATGTCTGTCACCACCATGCCATGCCCCACATCCATCTGAGATGATTGTTGAGTCGACTCAAATTGCAACTCAGACAGACAACAAGCATGTGTGCATGGATGCATGCATGGGTCTATGGTACCTTGTACAGTGCAATGTCTGTCACCGCCATGCCATGCCCCACATCCATCTGAGAGAACCGCCTCCACCCCTCTGAGTTGATTGTTGAGTCGACTCAAAATGCAACTCAGACAGACCCCATGTGCGCATGGATGCATGCATGGGTAACCCATTACCTTATACATTGCAATGTCTGTCACCGCCATGCCATGCCCCACATCCACCACCGCTGCCCTCTCTGCCTCTCGAATGCCAGGTAGACAAGCATGCATGCATGGGTAGATGGTACCTACCTTGTACATTGCAATGTCTGTGACCACCATGCCATGCCCCACATCCACCACTGCCGCCTCCACCCCCTCTGCTGCTCCTGCCACTGCTGTCGCTGCTGCGCCTGCTTTGACTGCTGCTGCTGCTGCTGCTGATGCACGGGAAATTGCAGGATGTTTTGCAGAGGACAAAGGCACTCGTAGCACCAACACTTGGCTGCTGCTGCTGCTGCTGCTGCTAACAGAGGTGGAGGACGGGAGGGGAAGCGCAATGACGCACTTAGCGGGTGGTGGGAGGCGGTGGTGAGGGGTGCTGGTAGCTTTAGCAGAATTAATCAGCGAGGAAGGCTGCAGTGGGGAGAGCAGGGGAAGGAGGAGAAAGTTGGGTGAAGAGAAAGATGGTGAGTAGAAAGATGGCTGGGTGGAATAATAGGTGATTAACAGTTGACTCAATTGTTGACAAGCGCACAAGAGCAAGGGGTGGAATAGAAACATGGGGATCCCGACTTGAGAACTCTCAAGTCTAGTCGAGTTTTGAGTCGACTCAAAACTCGACTCGTTACACGAGAAACATGGGGATACCGACTTGAGAACTTTCAAGACTAGAAAAGAGAGATGGGAATTCGTGACCATAAAATCCTTCTCCATCGCAATAAGGTTGTTAGGCGTGCGAGAGTGGGTCAAGACGAGAGTGATTCAAGAGAAGAGCGGAAGCAACGGGAGTGAAAGGTGAGAGGTGAATGGAGGGAAACGAGTGGGGGGAAATCGGTAGAAAAGGGAAAGAGTGGAGGAGAGAGCACGTGGGGGGTGGAAGGAAGACGGCAGGAAGATGGCAGGAAGATGGCAGGAAGATGGCAGGAAGATGGCAGGAAGATGGCAGGCAAAGATGAGCAAAGAGAAAAAGCATTGCGCCGTCTAGATGAAAATAGATTCTAGAAGATCATTGAGGTTACTTGGGGGCAGCAGATGCTGATTGGCGCCCTAACAGGCATGGCGGCTGTTGCTGCTGCTGCTGTTGCTGCTGCATCTTTAGCTTGTGCCTTAGCAGGTGTTCTCTGCTGGGCGGCAATCTGTTGGGCGGCAACTTGTTGGCTTGAAGTCAGAAGAGGCACGGTGGGCACAGCAGGCAGAAGCAGAGAGGGCAGGGCGAGCACGGCACGGGCAGTGAAGCTGGCTGCTGTGGCTGATAGCACTGCCTCACAACTGGAGAGGGGGGGAGAGGGGGGCGAAATGGGACAAGGGGCAAGGGAAGTCGTTGAGGCAGTGGGAGAGGCCGCAGGGAAAGCACGGCACGGGCAGTGAATCTGGCTGCTGTGGCCGATAGCACTGCCTCACAGCTGGAGATAGGGGGAGTGGGGTGAATGGGGGAACAGAATGTGGGCACAGTAGGAAGCAGCAGAGGTGGCAGGGCAAGCACGGCTAGAGCAGTGAAGCTGGCTGCTGTGGCTGAATACCCGCAAAATACGTGCGATTTCATATAGTGGACACTCACGTAATTGAGTGGGTTCTATTCTATAAAAGGACGTTAATTGGTGGTGGTAGTTATCAAATGACATCGCAAGGCTCACCTGTGTTGCACTCGGTCCAGCCGCTGCCGGAGAGAGTTGTTGCCTCCCTTGGGGTGCACGGCTGCTGGGTTGGTGATCCCAGCTAGGTCACACACGACCTCCCTTAGAAGCGCATCTGGGTATAAGAACAACACAATACCCAGGAAGCGGGAAGGATTGAAGGTTGGCGTGATTGTGAGGTCCAAGGGGTGAGAGAGGACGCGAGGAAGGGTTGCCGTGCAGAGGAGCACAACACACACATCCCACCACCATCGCCATCACAGATACCCTAAACCCCCATCCCATCACCACCATCACACATACCCCCCCATTGCCGCCACCTTCTTAACATACCCCCTTCACCACATACCCCCTTCACCACATACCCCCATCCTCGTGCGCGCCACTCGTGATCCCAGCGAACATGGGCGGGGGCGGCACCCTGGCGCCTGGGGAGGTGGCATCTGGGGCAGGTGGATCCAGGTGCGCCTTGATGGGGTCGCAGTCCAAGTGGTGGTGGAGAAAGTCCGCCACCACTGCCCTGCTCTGCGGAAAAGGCAGGGAGAGAGGAGGAGAGAGGAGGGTAGAGCAGGTGGCGTCTGGGGGAGGCGGATCCAGGTGCGCATTGACTGGGCCTTGAAGGGGTCGCGGTCGAAGTGGATGGGAGGTGGCATCTGGGGCAGATGGGGTGCAGGTGCGCCTTGGTGGTGCAGAAAGTCCGCCACCACTGCCCTGCTCTGCGGGAGAGGTGTGGGCGGGGGAGAGAGAAGGAGGATGGGAAACGGACTCGCGAGTTTCGCGGAGAATCAAGGTGCGCCCCCTTCAGGCCCGAGGTGCGCTTTGATGATATCCCAGTAAAAGCGCTGGTGGAGAAAATCCGCCACCACTGCCCTACTCTGTGGGAGAGAAGGGGCAGACGGGGAGACGAGGAGGGTAGAGCACTTTTTGTTACTTGGAAGTTCTGAAATGTCTGCCACTAGTACTCTCTGCTGCAGGAGCCTGGCTGGCTGCTGCTGCTGCTGCTGCTGCGACTGGCAGCATTCGCCCCAAGTGAGCCAAGCACCAATGCGGAACGCCCTAAGGCATGAGGTCTGAACGCCCTAAGGCATGAGGTCTGAACGCCCTAAGGCATGAGGTCTGAACGCCCTAAGGCATGAGGTCTGAACGCCCGAAGTGTCAACAAGCGCCACTACGCACCCCTTATGTGCCACTCTACATGTAGCACTCACATGCTGATCAGCAGCACCTGGCTGCTGGTGGCATTGCTGCCCCTCCGCCTCATGTTGTTAGAGAATTCTAGAGAACCTTCCGCTGATTCTTGAGAACCAACTGTCCGCTGTAGCACTCACGTGTTGACCAGCAGTGCTTGGCTGCTCGCAGCATTGCTGCCCGGCCTGACATCCTCGTCCTCATCCTCGTTCGCCGCCCGGATGCAGCGCAGCAGCCACACAAAGAAGGCGGCAAACTGCGGCAGCATCACCGCCAGCAGCCGCACCACACGCTCACTCCACACCATCGCCACCATCACCTCCTCTATTGCTCTCTGTAGTAACCCACCTGCACTGCCACTAGCACCGCTATCAACACCCCTACCAACTCCACCACCACCACCACCAGCACCTTCAGCACCACCATTTGCACTACCGCCAGCATCGCCCATGCAGTGTGCTAGTCCCAGAGCCTCAAACGGGCTGACTGTCCCAGGACAACCAGCAGTGGCACCTGTAGCAGTAGCTGAAGCTGTAGCACCAGCAGTGGCAGCAGCAGCAGCTGTAGCAGCGAGGGAGTGCAGGGAGGAGAGGCGGAACAGGGTCTCTTCCAGAGCGGGCATGAGGTGCAGTGTGAGCAGACCATGCAGCGCGTTCCCTGCTGTCTCTATCGTCCGTGCCAGCCGCTTCACTCCCTGGGGATGGGGAAAACGTGGGGTTGAAGAAGGGGGGGCGGAAAAAGAGGCAAAATTGTCACTGGTGGTCAGCTTGCGCAAGCCATGCAGTGCGTTCCCTGCTGTCCCTATCGTCCATGCAGTGCGTTCCCTGCTGTCCCTATCGTCCATGCAGTGCGTTCCCTGCTGTCCCTATCGTCCATGCCAGGGAGGGAGACAGAGGGCAAGGGTGGCTGGCTGAAGGGTGGCCAAAGCATTGCACTAGTGGGGCGGGGCAGTGCCGCTGGTGCATTGCACTAGTGGGGCGGGGCAGTGCCGCTGGTGCATTGCACTAGTGGGGCGGGGCAGTGCCGCTGGTGCATTGCACTAGTGGGGCGGGGCAGTGCCGCTGGTGCATTGCAAGATGAACGAGCATTGTGCACATTGCAGGCGACTTTTGAGACGTCTCAAAAGAGAATGAATGAAGAAGATTGTGCACATTGCATTGCAGGCAGGCATCAGTAACTTGTGCATCAACATCAGCAGCCTCTCATAACCAAACAAGCCTCACCGCTTCGCCTGCAAGAGTATCTGAGAACTTTTGAGACGTCTCAAAACTCACCGCTTCGCCGGCAAGAGTATCTGAGAAAAAGCTGTTCAGATCCGTGCTGGCAGCTCCTGTTGCCAGCATGTACAGCAGCTCTGAGCGAGGGTCCGAGGGGCAGTCTGAGACACGGGAACAAGGGGCGGGCAAGGGCATTGCAGATTTGCAAGGGCACAGTTTTGAGTGGTGGTGGCACAACTCGACCCAGCAGCTCCTGTTGCGAGCATGTACAGCAGCTCTGAGCGAGGGCCTGCGGGGCAATCTGAGACATGGTTGGAGCATGGGGCAGGCAGGGGCATTGCAAGGGCATGGTTTTGAGTGGTGGAAAAACTCTCAAATCGCAGGTAGAAAAAGGGCAAAAGGGTAGGGCATCTCACCAATCACCTGCCGCCAGCTCACAAATCACCTCTCGTCAGCCCACCAATCACCTGCCGCCAGCTCACCATTCTCCTCCAGCAGTCGCTGCAGCCCCTGCACCTTCTCCCGCCACTGACAGCTGGCGGCCTCCCATTGGCCGTGCATGGCAGCAGCAGTTGCTGACACGGACTCCATGAGCGCTGTCAGCGCCGCCCCGTGCGTTGCCACTGCCAACACCTCCCAGGGGCTGCATAGAGGCGAACAATGAACAAGGGAGAGCGGTGGGGAAAGGGTTGTGAAGGGGCTTCCAGCCTTAGCAGCAGCAGCCGTTGCTGACACGCACTCCATGAGCCCTGTTAGTGCCGCCCCATGGGTTGCCACCGCCAGCACCTCCCAGGGGCTGCAATGAGGATAGGGGAGGGGTATGGGGGAGGAAAAGGTGGGCTCTCAGCCGTAGCAGCAACTGCTGCTGCTAATGAACTAACAGGACTAACGCATAGTTGCTGAAACAAACTCCATTAGTCCTGTTAGCGCTGCTGCCCCGTGCGTTGCCACTGCCGGCACCTCCCAGCGGCTGATTTGGGGAGAGGGGGGGAGCATGGAGAGGAAAGGCAGGAGCGGGGGAAGCTGCAGTGCAGCAGGAACTGAGGCTGATCCACACTCCATAAGCCCTGTCACCCTCCCACCTGTCTGTCACTCTCCCACCTCCCGCCCTCCCACCCCCCACCCACCTGTGCCTCATCATGGCCGTGTCAAACAGCGCCAGCTCACAGCCAGCCTCGCCCTGCTCTTGCTGCCCCTGCCGCCCTTGCTTCCCATCCCGGATGCTGCTGCTGCTGCTGCTGCTGCTGCTGCTGATGCTGCTGCTGCTGCTGGCAGTGACAACAATGAGGTGGGCCAGATCAGGTGTCAGCAACGCCTGTTGGGGGCACATGGGGCGGGAATGGGGAAAGAGAAATGTGTTCGAGAATCCGCAAAGCCTAAAACTGTGTGAGAGAGATGAGGAGTTATCAACGGCTGTGGGAGGCACAAAGGATTTGGGAGTGGAGATTTCGGTAGAGAAGCAAAGGGAAGGGGCTGTGAATGAAATGGGGGATGAGGCAGCTTCACTCAGCCCGTTGCTTGCCTGCAGCAGCTGACTGACACGGCTTCACTCAGCCCGTTGCTTGCCTGCAGCAGCTGACTGACACGGCTTCACTCAGCCCGTTGCTTGCCTGCAGCAGCTGACTGACACGGCTTCACTCAGCCCGTTGCTTGCCTGCAGCAGCTGACTGACACGGCTTCACTCAGCCCGTTGCTTGCCTGCAGCAGCTGACTGACACGGCTTCACTCAGCCCGTTGCTTGCCTGCAGCAGCTGACTGACACGGCTTCACTCAGCTTGGTTGGCCCCCCCTCCCTCTTCCCCTCTCCCCTCTCCCCTCGACTTACTTACCTTCACACGAGCCCCACTTGCATGCCTTGTCATGTCCTGACACGCGGGCGAGAGAGGACGCAGGCAGGTGGGCGCGTGATGAGACAGGCAGGAAGGTGAGAGGGATAGGGGAGAGAGGAGAGGGGAGAGAGGATAGGAAGGTAGGCAAGCAAGAGAGGAAAGGAGACATGGTGTCTGTGCTCATGTTGTGGTATCGTGCGGTGCTGTGTGATGTGGCGTGGCGTGGTGTGGTGTGGTGTGGTGTGGTGTGGTGTGGTGTGACGGGTTCCCCCCTGCTTCCGTATCCATCCATACGTAAACGAGTTTGCACATATGTGATGCACCATGTCTAACACGCAGCAGACACATCACTATGTCAAATTGAATACACTGCAAGTGGCAAGTCACGGCCTACAGGACATGCCACAGGCTACAGGGCAAGTGAGGGCAAGTGACGGCTTACCAGCTTGATGAGTGGGAAGATGCCAAACGCGCTCACCACCACACACCCCACCACATCCACACTCACTAACACACACAGCATACTCCTCTCCTCCTCCCCTCCCTCTCCCTCCCCCCCTCCCCCTCCCCCTCCACCCCCTCCCTCTCCCCCTCTCCCCTTGCCAGCAGGCATGTGCATCCACCACCGCTCATCCTCGGGCGCGCGGGCCCCGTCCACGTCAGCAACTGAGTCAGCAGGCATGGAGAGGTAGGAGGCCGAGGGAAGGGAAGAGGCGGGTGGAGTCCGGGGGAGGTAGATATGAGTGAGGTCGTGGTAGGGGCCATGGGGGAAAGGCGGGGAGGGGGCGGAGGGGGGGAGCTTGGCGGTGGAGGAGGAGGAGGAGAGGGGGGAGAGGGAGGGGAGGTTGGCGAGGAGGGAGGAAGGGGAGAGAGGAAGGGAGGTGCTGGTGGCAGTGGCGGTGGGAGCAGGACTGGCATTGGGAGGAGCAGTGGTGGAGGAGGGGGAGAGGTGCAGGGAGGACCACGAGAGGGCGGAGAGAGGGGCGGAGTGGAAGGAGGAGACCTGATGAATGATGTCTCCGCCCTGCAGGGGGACCAGGAGAAGAGGGGAGGGGGAAGGGGGAAGGGCGGAAGGGGAACGGGTGAAGAGGGGAATGGGGGAAAAGGGGGAGCAGTGTTGGGGAGAGGGAGCGAGACCTGGTGGGGACTTGGTCGCCCCCTTGCAGGGTGGAGACCTGGAGGATGATGTCTCCGCCCTGCCGGGGGGTATGGGGAAGAGCGAGTTGGGGGGGGTGGGGGGAGATTGAGAAGAAGGAGAGATGGAGGAAGGGTTGCAGAGTGGATGGAAGAGACCTGATAGATGATGCCTCTACCCTGCAGGGGAGAAGACGAACTAGTTCCAGGGGTATGCTGCTCCATCCCCCCATTCTCCGTACTTGCCTATATTATAGGGTGCTTAAAGAGAATGTGAAACAATATGATCTGGTATTAGAATCCTCACTCGGTCCCTCGCTGCACTCGTATTGATCACCGTCCATTTCACTCTGCTTGTTTGGAAACGAAAGGCAAGACGCAGACACACACACACATGAGGGCTGACCTCCACGTGGCGGTACACGATGCTGCCATCTGTATGCCCTGTCAGAATGGCCCGCCCATCTGGCCGCCACGTCAGCGCAGTCACAGGCACCTCTGGCGGGAAGGAGGAGGGGAAGAGAGCAGCAAGGGAGGGCTACACAGTACTACTTATTTGGGCGGACAAAAAGGGCAACACAACGAGACTGAAAGAAGCATCGGAATGATTGTTCATATCTGAAACCAACAGATTCACCCACCGATTTCATAAGTTTTAACAGATTGATCAACCACATTCCCCAGTTACCAAAATCACAATTTCCATTCCAAGTTACCAGAATTTCACCCCAAAGTTAAAAATGGTTGATTCACCAGAAATGGCTGCCCAGAGGCGCTGCCAGTTGAGGCGAAAAACGAGGAGATGCTGGTCGCGACACACGAGGGCCAGCAGGTCCTTGTCGCCACTCCACTCCGCCAGACATGCCTGACATTGAGGGGAAGAAAAAAAGCCAAAGTCACAAGATTTGCCGTATCAACCGCCGAGGTAAAGCTGCAGGCACACGAGGGCTAGCAGGTCCTTTTCGCCACTCCCCTCCGCCAGACATGCCTGAGACGGACAGGAAGAACGAAACAAAATTGATTGTGACGGCCAGACGAGGCGTTCTATTTCCAGACACCTGGTCACGGTGACACACACAACGGCCAGCAGGTGCTTGTCGCCACTCCAATCCGCTAGACATGCCTGAGATGGAAGGTAAGGGAAAGAACTTATTGTGAAGGACGAACAAAGAACCAAGGACCTGCGAGGCAAGCGACAGACCTGCGAGGCAAGCGACAGACCTGCGAGGCAAGCGACAGACCTGCGAGGCAAGCGACAGACCTGCGAGGCAAGCGACTGTCCTGTGTGGCAAGCGACTGACCTGCGAGGCAAGCGACTGACCTGCGAGGCAAGCGACTGACCTACGAGGCAAGCGACTGACCTGCGAGGCAAGCGACTGACCTGCGAGGCAAGCGACTGACCTGCGAGGCAAGCGACTGACCTGCGAGGCAAGCGACTTCTCCTGAACGACAGTGAAGCTGGCAGGCATGGCAGCAGGCGTTAGCAGGAGAATTCGACGTGACTAATACTGGTTCTTGTAATCGCAAACCGCGGTGCGCACTGCAGCCTGCATTCTCTCTAGCCTATGCTGCACATACTGCAAATCTGCTACGAGATAACGCGAAGCAGAAATGTCAGAAGCATGTTATCCTGAGGTTTCACCACACGAAAGTGGACTTCGTGCCCTCCCTGTGTCCCTTTCTGATCAGATATGCGGCTCAAGGAGGCTCTCTACGATGTAAAGTGGTCGAATCAGCGTTTCAAAGGGTGTTATGAATGAACTTGCAGAGTGCGCAGAATATCGAATAACGAGAATGAACTGATTACTGAATGAAGAAACAATGAAGAAGCGAGGCCTAAATAGGGGAAAACCTAGCTAGGCGGGAGGTTCGGGATGGGATGGCTCGGTGATGGTTGCGATTGGAGCGGAGGCCGACTCGGGAGTGGTTCGGTGCGACGAAATAGGAAGGACAGGTTCGTCGCGTGACCCTCGGGATGTCCTCGCTAACGAGTGCCTCAGTAAGGATTTGTAAATCCTTACAAAGGGGGTCTCGATCATGCTTCCGAATGCCTTTTTGCTGCGAAACTCTCTTCTGGTTTAGCTGTTATTTGGGAAAAAAGGAAGCTGACACAAGTACTGAAAGTAGTTAGGCTACTTAATATTCATAGACAGGTAGAAGTTTATAATTGATAGGTGAACACATAAATATCAGTTATGCATTATCCTATATTTAAACAGTATGCCATTGTGATGGGCTTTTTCACCAAGCTGGCTGGATAAATAGAATAAATGAGTATAGTGTATCAGTCCTAATGCTTACATATGTTTACATTATACTGTTGTGCTGCATCTGTATCGATTTGCATATCTTTTCCCGCGCCCTGGATGACACCACCACACCACCAAACTGACCTCCTGACCCTTGCTGCCACGTCGATAACCTTTGAAAATATGCTTGGCGCGAAAAGTACGAATATATCCAATGACAGAAGCTGCGCACCGTCGATCTCTATGACATACACCATGCCATGCTTTGATCCAACGAACGGTACTTGTCAGCTGACGTCCTTCCCTCGTGCGGCATGGATCTACCTCGATTGTTCCGCGCGCATCCTTGCCTGGCGGAAGGCGGAAGAATCCTTCTCTTGTGCGCTGTTCTGGCGTGGTGCGTGCGTGATGATGGTTCAAGCGCAACTGTCAGCGAGCTAACAAGCGGGGAAGCATTTTCTACTGCCTGACAATTACGAGGGTTTGGTTTTGGTTTGGTCTGGCAGGACAACCAAACGACCAAACAAGGCAACCATATTTATTCCACCAGCAGTCCATCTCACTCGGTGTTTGTCATTCATTGGGCGTTCGCTTGTGGTTGTCCGTTCCTCGCTTCCTCCCTTCCCTAACCTCTCCCTTTTCCGCGTTTTCTTCCTGGGCCTTGGATCTGTCTTTTTTTCCCGCCTTTCCCGCTTTCCGCATGGGAACATTCTGTGTGATCATTTCTGTGTAAGGTAGCAATTGCATGTAGCATGTAGTGAGACAGGATCAGGCTTTTGTATTACTAACTGGGTCATTCCTTAGTCTTAGCAATAATGGCGGTAAGCTTCTTGTCCTTTACTTCTCAGTTTAGTAGAGTTAGGCCTAATTCAGAGGCTCAATTGGCCTCCGCTGGCATTCTTGGCTCACGACCTGGTTCCGAGTGTTCCGGGTCTTCGCGGTTATCCGCGGTTAGTCTAGGCTCAAGTGAAAGATCAAGCCTCGCGGTTTCAGCATCATTCGGAGGCGCGTCTAGATCGCCATTGCGCGCCGATGACGGCCATGACAATTTTACCGGCTTGCCGGTTCACAGCGGCGTCGTCCACAGAACGGGACGGTCGCGACGCTTCGGAGAGAAGCTCAAACAGCGACGACGAATGGTTTGTCGCGCTGAGAGCATAAACGGCAGCAGTAGCAACAACGGCAGGATAGGCAGCTTAGTATTTCCCGCAGCTCCACCCTTCGGTTCCATAGCTGGGGAGTCAGATCGGGACGCTAAACTTGCGCAACTCAATAGGGTGAATACTGGAAATGAGTCCGTGGCACGGCGGGCAGAAGCGGAAGATACGGCGAGTGTTGGCGCCGTGTCGGGGTTGCTCCAGCAGCAGCAGTCTCCGCCAGTCCTCGAGGTGGTCCGGCAACTCGAAGCGAAGATGAATGAACCGTCCGCGGTGCTGGAAAGCATGAAGGTAGGACCTTATAATTCTTACCGCTTCTCTCCATGATTTGTAGTGTCCCCGTTTCGCGCCTGTGTCCTCCATTTCCCTTCTCCCTCCGTTTTCCTTTCTCCATTTTCCTTGCTCGTTTTCGCTCACGTGCTCTTCCCGCTTCCCCTCCTATCCCTGTTGCGCAACCGTAACAATGCGTCTTAGAACCACTTCTTACTGAGGCTCAAAGATTTTTATTCGTTGTTCCCATGCAGGATATGCTGACGGTTGAAGATCTCGAGACTCTTATTGCTTACCTGGCGCAACGAGGTCGCGACATGTGGCAAGCCCTCGAGGTTTACGACTGGATGGTTCGCGAGAACCGTGCTCAACGCAGCACGCGTCGACTCACCCTCGTCATCATGGACCAGCGGCTCGGGCAGCTTTTACAAGAAGCCTGCCCGACGGAAAACATTTTGCGCCTGGTGGTGCGCATGCTGGAGCTGGAGCTCCTGCCGGACCTTCCGCTCAAGCGGATGCTGGCGGAGCAACTGTGGGATCGCGGGGACTTGCCGGCGGTTGTGCGACTGCTCCGGATTCTGCAGGAATCGGAGTGTTTTCACGGCGACGGCGCTGGTGTGACTTCGGGAGGAGGAGGTGAGGTTGCGGATTTGGCGGTGAGGTTGAGAAGCCAAATGGACAGGTCGATTAAAGACGTCAAAGACGGACGGATCGAAAGCGTTGCGGGGCAGCCTAAGCTGCCGCCGCTGACGCTGCAGGGGGATACTATCCGGTCTGACCAATCAGTTGTGGCCATGTCGTCATCTGTTGTGGGAGGAGTCGCCCCTTCGTCGCCCATCTCCGCAACGGCTACCAGCTCGGCAGCCGAAGCGGACAGGATGGCGGGAGGTTCGGCTGGAGGCTCGGCAAGAGGTTCGGCAGAATCGTCTTCCGGGTCGTGGCTGCTGGCGGAAGGTCCAGAGGAGCGGAAGGACCGCCTCATCCGAGAGTTGCGCGAACGGGTGGCGGTTGAGCTGGCTGGCGCAAAGGGGGAGGGGGCAGGGGGGGGTTCTGTTTACGGGGAGAGCGCGGAGGCCCAAGCGGGAGGTTCGGATTCGGTTTCCGCGGGCGCTGATACCGCGGATGCGGTTGCGGAGATTGGGGAGGACCTGGGGGGGTACTTGGCGGAACGAGCTCTCGCGCGCGCGCAGTTCCGCGAGGTGCTGGCACTTCCGCGGCTGTTGCGCGAGGGCGGCGTGGAGGTGTCGGTGGTAGCGTACGAGGCGGCGCTGATTGCGGCGGTGAGGGAGCAGGAGCTGTGGACGATCAACGTGGGGGATCTGCAGGTGATGCAGTATGAGAGCGCAGTGGGAGCGCTGTCGCCGCTCGACTGCATGCTCATGGAGGTGCGTGGCCGGCCGGGGGGATGTTGAGGGATGGAGGGGTAAGGGTGGGTTGGGGGGATAAGGAATGGCGGGTATGAGTGGTTGTTGCGGGGGTGATGTGGGGGTCAAGTGAACGTTACAGGAATTGTAGGAAGAGGCACTGTCGCCGCTGGACTGCATGCTCA